GAGTTAATATATTATATCGATCAATTTAACTTTTTTTGTATTTTCTTTTTTCATTCATTTATCAATTCAAAAATCTTAACAAAATCGATGCCACTTAAAACCAATACAAAACCTCTCCATAATTTTGCCCAGTAATATCGACAGTGATGAAACTGTCAGTCATTTCCGATCTTATTTGCATTCCGGATTTTTGGTGACCTTGTCAGTACGGGAACGGATTACTTCAAATACTCAATTAAATCTTTATTGGCTTTCCTATCTTTTGCTAATCCATAATGCATATCGATGCTTGTATTGCTTTCCTGATATTTGTTCGGGGAAGGGGGAAAAAAGAGAAGTATCAGTAAATGCATAAATGATTTCAGATTTTTTTTTTTTACACCCATTAATTCATCATAAAATACCAATTATCTTATCAGTTATTATCATTTAAAACTATTAAATAACAAAAAAAAAAGAAAGAAAAAAACTTTATGAAATGAAATAAAATTAATTAAATAAATAATGAATTGAAATAAAACTTTTAACTTTTAACCTTTACACTTTCGTTTTTTTTCTAATTTTTCATTTTTCACCTTCAACTTTTAATCTTTACACTTTCTACTTTTTCATTTTTTCATTTTTCATTTTTCACTTTTAACTTTTCACTTTTTTTTTTTGAAAATCCTTTCGCTTATTTTAGTTACAACGATTCATTCACTCATTCATTTCATTTCAATGTCCTTCCTCTTTTAGTTACCTTTTCCTACCTCAAATAATTACTTTCATTGTCATTTCCATTCAACTTTTTGGTCATTAAAAGAATCGGAAATTGCTCATCCATCCATTCAGCACAATTTCCATTGTCAACATTCATTCTCTCTTCCTATCTTCCTAATTTATTTATGTATTTTTCTCTTCATCTAATAGTTTTTGCATATCTTTAATAGATTGCAAAATTAAAGGTAGAAGAAAAGGAAAAAAAGGAAAAATTACATCCAAATTCATCCTCTCAAAATAATCAACCTTTTTCCTTTCTCTTTCTCTCTTTCTCTCCCTCTCTCTCTCCCTTATTCTCTCAATAAATTGAAGGTTACATTCCATTCAAAATGTAATTTTGGGGGAAAAAAAAAGAAGCGATAAGATCTTATCAGTTGAATGATATGTACAATATGTTTGTATTGTAATTATCATATTTTACATTTTTTGTTTTATTCATCTTGAAATGAAATTGTAAATTTTCTTTCCTGCTGATAACAAGTTTTAAATTAAACAAGTTATCATTTCTCGAGATGAAATTATGATTTTGTTTTCTGATGATAAGAAGTTTAGGTTAAATAAATTATTATCTGTTGAGATGAAATTGTGAGTTTTCCTTTCTGATGATAAGAAGTTTAAGTTAAATAACTTATCATCAGATTACATTTATTGTTTACTTATTTATCTGCTAAAATGATTGCAATAGTTGTACGAATAAAATGATTGTTTAACGTGTTCAAATTGAATTTTAATTTCTAAACTTTATTTTTATTAATAATTTAATTCATCTTAAGCGCAATTGTCTAAATTCTCCGCCAAATTTAATCAGTTCATAATTTATTTCAGCAAATCATATAATGATAGTAGAATTTTTAATGATAGTAGAATCTCCTCTTTCTCTTTCTCCCTCTTTCAATCCAATTGTGAAGTTCTAAGATATCAAGGTAATTATAGACCATGTGAGTGGAAAGGACATTAAGAATTAAGAGTCACTGAGAAGCGGTAATGACGACAATCATGACTGCGCAAGTTCAAGGACACCGCTACTTTAAGGCGATGCATCTGTAAAATTATTTCTATCAAATATTCTCTTCATCGATAATATTTACATTATCATTGTGTACATTTTTTTTTTCTCGTATTACTTTAATTTAATTAATTCAAAAATTTAAAAAAAGAAAATTTAAAATTACTTACAAAATTATTGATGACAAAGTATTGGATGAAAGAAATTTGTGGTGACAAGAAAATGAAAAGCGCAAAAATGAAATAGTAAATAATGTTTGGAACTTTATACAGTGCCCTTTTCTTAGGACACTTCTGATGTCAATTGCTTTTGCAAATATTTCCATTATGCATCAAACAAAAGCTTCCTTCTTTTTTTTTTTTGATATGATTGTGAGAAATGTCAACAATGCGGTGGAAACTTGATGCCCAAAAGGTTGGTAAATTTGACCAGTATTGACCTTTCGTTTAATGATTTTTGTTTGTTTGCTTTTACTAAAAGTAAGAAATGATTCATTAATTGAGGAAAAACATATTTAAATTGATTGAAATATTGTATTTTACTCTGATTAATTATAATCAATTTAAAATATTTATTCGAAAAATTCAAAAAAAAATAAAAATAAAACCTTATGAAATAACAAATAAAAATGAATTATATTGAAGATATATGAACAATAAATGAAATTTTAATTTCCTGAAAAAAGAAAAAAGGAACGAATGATGAAATGTTTGCTAGAAAATCAAATTCAGGAAATGAAATTTTTAATTTTTAATTTTTTTGAAAATAAAATAAAATCTTTTATGGCAAAAAATAATCGAACTAAAAAGCAAAAAAAAAAACAAAATAAAAAAGTATTTAAAAAAAAAGAAAAGTTAAATATAAATAAAAAAAAGGCGCAAAAAAGGAAAAAGCAATTTTTTTTTTTTTTGTGCGCAAATATTTTCCTTTTCCTTTCATAAATTCATATTTTGCAATTAATTAACATAAAGATGAAAATATGTATATTTAATATTTTCTTATTGTAGCAATCATAATAATATTGCAAGTATGCAAGCATTAAATAAGTGTATGCATGCAGAATGCATGCAATATGAAATTTCAATAATTATTTCATTAATCATCCTGCTGCTATTAAATCATATGATGCAAAAAAAAAAACGCTTAAAAATGCGCAAAAAAAAAAGAGTAAATTTTCAAATAATTTACATGAATGAATGATTCATTTCGATTTCTCAATAGTACTGATATTGATCTTTATGATATAAAACGATTGCTAACATTTTCCCATGAACATTTAACAAAAATGATATGCAAATTTGAGGTTGAAGTTAAGTGCAACATCGTTGATTTCTCATCGCGATAATACGCACCTGCACAGGTGTATATGTATGCTTACTATTTGTTTGCATAGAAGATTTATCGTTGATACTTTACGATATGAGGTCATGCCCCTTTTTTTTTTTTCATCACTAAACACTTTCCCATTTCAATAGCTTATACTAAATTACCAATGAAATATTACGGTGTACTGTGATACCTTTCCTTTACATCTTATAAAAATATTTAATTTCCAAATTTTTATTCAATTTTACTTAAATTCTACCATATTTAATCTAAAAAATATCACAATTATGACAGTGAAATGCAAAGATTATTGAAAAAGTAAAATTAAATTTAAAAAATTAGTAAAAGTTAAATCCTAAAGATGCATAAAAAGAATATCAAAGATATTCGATTTGAAAAATAAATTTTGAAAAGATTTTGAAAATATGAAACGATAAAAAATCATTTCCAATAATCAAATTGGTATCATCTACATGCTAATTTTCCAATATGTAAATTAATTAATGGAACAATTAATAGAAAAGCTGAAATAAAGAAATAAATAAAAATCTTAGCTTTCATAATGATGATATTAATGTTATTTGAGAATTTGATAAAGATATGATAAGATCAATAAATATATTTTTATCATTATAAATCCTAAATGTATAATATATAGTGGATGGAATAATTTATGATTCTTTAAACTATCATCTTTTTTTTTTTTTAATTGACCCAAAGATAATGATAGCTTTTTTTTTCTGTTGTGAAGTGAAATATTTGTCCCAATATGATTACTGTATATAACAGTAATTATTGCATTCATTACTTTATGACATTTCGTAGTTCTTCTTTTTTTCTTTTTTTTTTATTCAATAAAAATTGGGAATAGTTGAAATTGTTGGGAACAATTAAAACT